GCAGCAGCAGCAGCAGAAGGATGCAGAAGAAATGCAATCATCTCCGAGGTCAGATTGTTCCAGTGTGAAGGTTAAGATTCAGGGACAAAAGAGAGGCCGTTACCTTTTCAAATCGAGAGATCTTGTTGGCTTTGACAGCAGCATCCAGGATGAGGGGAGGGCCGAGGCCAAAGATGTCTCTCAGTAGTGGGTTGAACTGCACCAAAACAAAAGCGCACGCCAAAATTAACAATACGTTAACATCCAAATAACCAGGTATGGAGAATTGAATTGAATCAATTGAAGTGTAAACTTCTGCCCTACCAACAACCCCTCGCATTTCCTTCCTAATGTGCCATTATTGGTTACATTTGGCAGGTGCCACTTTGCTAAAATGCTAAAGTGTTTGTGCAGTATTACTCAGCTTATTTATTCACAATAAATCTAATAGCGAGGCAGTGGGATCGCCCACACCCATGTGGTGCTATGTAGGGTGTGTTCATTGTGTGCGTCTTCAATTTGCTGTGCTACATACAACCTGCCTGCCAGGGGGCTGCAGCTCCAGATAGTAGTGGGTGGCTGAGTAAACTAGATGCAACAGTTAACCTTTGTTGTATGTTAATAAATTATTAGTAATTGGTAACTGATTAGTATTTCTGCTGCCGACTAGCGAGGGTAGCAATGTTTAATCGCCTAGTTGTGCCTATCTCTAGTGAGAACACACAAGTAAAGTACACTACTGGCTTCAGTGTTTATTTTCCTGACCTGTAGGTGGTGTCTGACTCCGGACTCCATGATCTCTTTGAAGGCATCGTAGATTCTTCTCCTCATCCAGCTGTCGATGTAAACACTCTCCACCCCAAACCTGATCTTCTCCTCTGTGAAGTCCTCGTTCTGCAGGAGAAAGGGGACATCACAAAGTCATATGGAGAGAAGAATAAACCCTTCGCAGTGATAGCAAAGATAAGGGCATTAATAACAAATAGAACCATTGCTATAAAACATACCTCTATGTAATGTAGCACCTCTCTGAAGATGGAGCGTTGTTTCCGCCTGTCGTTCTTGGCTCTGTGCTTGTTGCCGTCTGTGGCTAAACTCTTAAGACACTGACACAGAGTTTCGCTGTCCTCCACCTCGAATTCCTACACACACCAGCGACACAATTAGATATGGGTATAGTGGTAAAAGGAGTACACACAGCATTTGAGTGTGCCTGCTCCCAAAAGGTACACAATTGTCTACACGTGTACGTCTACCTCTTCTATATCTCGTCCCAGCTCCACCAGCAGGGCGATGGTCTCTCCCGCTGCGATCCTGTAGTTGACGTCACTGCTCTGCAGACAAGCCTGCAGCTTGGGGAGGTGACTAGGAGGGCGACAGGGAGAGAGTCACTGTTGGTTACAATGCTCATCACTATTGATGACTTTTACTTTGGCAGCATGATTTATCAAAATGTTACCCTCAAAACTACAGAACTAAAGAAATGAAATGAAATAAATGAAAATCAAAAACAGACAAAAATGAAGAATTACTACAAGGCAGACTGTTCTTTCCACTCACAGGTCGAGCAGTACAGTCAGTCTAGATGCAGGACAAAGGGTGACAAGCAGCGACCAGGCCTGCAGGGCGGCACTGTGGAGGCCTGGACCGCCGGGTTTGGGTGTGGGGAGCGTCCCCTCTCTGTTGGGGTAGGAAGACATGAACACACTTTCCAGAAGGGCCAACGACTTGATCAAATCCTGGGAGGGTTCAGTGGTGATGATACGGGGAAAAAGAGAGAGAAAATGCAATGAGGGGTGAGAAAGAAAAAAACTGTTGATATGTAACAGCACAACAGTAAAGATAACTGTTGCCATATCAGGATTTAACATCTTAGATACAAACAGATACTGGAGCCTTGGACCCACATTTCGTAAGATTTCTTTATATTTATAAAATAAGTTCAACATAACAATGTGTAAACCAACTACTAACATTCAAACTACTTCCTGTGGTCCCAATATTTCTCTGCTAGACTTTGAGAATAATGAGAGTCATGATGGATTCAGCCATTGAGAGCACGTTGTTCTCACCTCTCCGTCTTCAGCAGCAGAGACGTAACAACACATCCCCAAGGCTCTGGCACACTGATGGAAACAGATGCAAGAATATTTAAATACCCAAACATTTAATTCAAAAAGAAAGTTTGCTAACATCAAAACATCTTTTTTTTTTTTTAAAAAAAAACCAAGCCAACCTTAAAATTATTATTCTCTCCTGGTTTGTTAATGTTTTAGTTTAAATAAAAAAATTAAAAAAGGTAAATAACTTTAAAAAAAGAAAAAAGGACTGTATAATGTGTATTTGTAGGTATGTCACTCAGTCCAATTGGCCTGTATTTGTTCCTCCAGACACAGTGTCCAACCCTGAGTCTCTGAAATGGCTGCTGTTAATGTCACACGGTGACACGAGTGGTCCACAAGAGTGCCCTGAACACTGGCAAGTGTTGTGTTTTTAGGTCTTCTGTTTGTTTCCAAAATTAACACAGTGGGTTGAAAACAGCAGTTGATGAGCCTTTGACACTTAAAACATCAAATCTACAACCTTGACAGGCTGGGAAATTCTCATATGGACAGTCCAATCACAACCACAGAAGGTGTTACATATGTGTAAGAGGAATTTTCTCTAATGTTGTTGAATGTCTGAGCTATGACTCACTTGACTATGGTACAACAATGGAGGTGAGACTGAGGTCAGCTGGGAGGGAGAAATACATTGCAGACTTTGCACTCAGTGAACTCTTGGCTGAACCAGATGTTTTTGGATTTGCTGTTGTTGTTCTGGAACTTTTATTGTCACGTTGCTGACTGAGTTTTAAGATGCAGTCCACATGACTAACTTCTATCCAGCACTCACACATTTATGTCCGAGCTGACTTTATTTTTATGTCTCATTTTCTGCTCTTCTTGTCTTTTTCCCCCCCAAGAGCTGTTGGTAAGTAAAAGATAATACCATATCCAAAGATTTGCCCAATATCAGAGAAAGTTAACGTGATTACTCACACTCTGGCGGGCTACTATGCTGGCACTGTTGTCAATCAGGATGGCGGTGAGGATGGGGCGAAGCATCTTGAAGCCTTCCTCTGCCTCGTCTCCACCCCCCAGCTGAATACAGAGGAGGGCGAAGACTGTGGCCGCCGCTGCCTGCTCCTCCCCGCTGCCTGGAGGGAACAGAAAGTTACTATTTGTTCATCAATTATAGTTGTTTTAGACTGCATTTCTGCAGTCTAAAACACCCTATACTGTATGTGCAGCGTTGTGTAAACATGCAGAACAACAACACCCTGATTAACAGAAATATATTTAACCTTTTCTACATCTGAGATCTGTTCTGGTCTTACCTTTTTTGAGGCTCCTTTCCAGGCAGTCGCTGACCGTGAGGCGTCTCTCTGTCAGGAAGTCGTAGAGGACTCTGGAGGAGAAGGCCTGTCGCAACGACTCGAGGCCCGCTAGACGCGTCTTAGTGCTGAGAGACACACAAACAGAGACAAGGGGAGAGAGAGGAAAATGAGACTTTCTGGTTACATCACTTCCTGGAATATCTACTACCGTCTGGTATTGCATCATCACCTTGCATTTGTCTTCCTGTTTATTGCTGACATTTCCTTCTTTTGTTATTGATAGTGACTGGACGAGTAAGACAACTCACCTCTTATCCATCAGGTTGTCTATACACTGCTTGAGTTTGTCTTCTGTTTCCTCCTGGGCAGTCTGCTCATCCACCTGCTCCCCTCCTGTGTTTGACCAGTCAACACACACAGATTTAATGTTTGGTTTAAGGGGAAAAAAACTTAGTCGTTTTAATGTCATACCACAAAAAAGGTGCTAAAAGGAATCAAAACGCACTATAAAATGTTGGCTGCATTTATTTACTTTGGTGTATATACGCAGTACCTTAGCTGTTATCCAAAAAAAGCATTATCTGCATTCATGTACAAACCTGTGCCCTCTTCCAGCACAGAGGTGCTTTCGCTGGCACTGCTGTAGTGGCTGAGGACATCAGACATCAGCTCATCATCGCTGGCACCCGACTCTCCCTTCAACCCATTTTTACTACCTAGAGAAAATAGTGAGACGAGGGAAGAAAGGAGGAGGTGGGAAAAAAAAATATACGAGTTAACAAACACGAGTCTGAATGCTGTTTTTCGTGGCAGCCTTGACTCGCTGCTTGACTGATGCTGGGTAAAAGGTGATGTAGACAACGCTGAGCATCTCAATCACGACAGGCACGGTGAGGACTGAGAAGCTGACTACCAGCAGTTGTTAGGACACTAACAAAAAAAAAAGCAAATAATGGAAATAATGAGCAACATTCGGTCAAAAATATACTTAAGTTTCCAACAAGAAGCCACAATGTTGTTGAGCAACAAGTTACTTCTTCCCTTTACTGTCCAAAATGATGCCTAGAAACTAGCAGTGTCTGCTAATAAGAGAGATTTAAATGTCAATGGTAATTATCAATTCTAAGTTTCAACAGCCATAGCGACACATATTTCTATAAAATGCCTCAAAATGACAGCTGGTTAACTGTAATGGTGAAATAAAAACACTAACAGAAAGCATCCCAAAATGAACCAGAATGTGGTTGGAGGCCATTTCCTCGCAGTGACTAATGGCAGGTTTAGGGAAGCTGACAGCAGTCCGCTCAGCTGTCTTTCTTTGTCAGTAACTGTACACCAGTCCTTAGACACAGACACGCAAACTCACTCACACACAATCTCCAAAATGCCCCCGTCATGTTTTATCATCAGTCTCCCCCACATAGGAGCTGATGTTCTCTCACATAAGGAAGAAACAGCAGTAAATGCAAGGTATTTCAATTAGACAGGGCCCTCTTATTTTCTACGTTCTACTAGTAAAAACTGTTCTATTAGTACCGTTTGGTAATCAGTGTTTTCATTGTTTTACACACCACGCGTGTGAGAAGGAGTGGGGCGGTTTGTCACGCAGAACCTGAACTGGGGTAAGAGACAGACAAGCAGAGCTAAGCTAACCCTCAGGTTCCTGCTGGCTCAGGACTTTCTACTGTTGGTGGGATTACTGGAGACCAGAGTGGCCATTCATTTATTCATTCATTCATTCAGTGTGTACGATCCAGAATGGTCAGACTGTGCTTGTGTGTGAGTGTTCAGGTCAACCAGGACAGTCCAGGTAACCCAGAGGTCACTCCACTCCGCTTTAGGTACAAGCTCAATGCCTACAACACACGTACAGTGAATACGACAACTCTAACAACACATCGTCTGATACCATTCACCGGTTTTATAAGAGGATCGCAGATAAAAAATGAAATGCAGTTCAGAATGCGTAAACAGAATCAACTGGGCTGAAGTTCATTTGACTTGACATCTGACTTCTTTACACTGCAAAAGTGAAGCATTCTGGGTGGTGGTGGTCTTCAACCACAAGCTGCTGACTTTCTGCTGTGGCTGACAAATTTACCACTACCTACCTGACTGGCATTTAAAGGCTCTATTCTCCTGAAACTGCAAAATGCTGATAGCAGCACTAACATTTGTTAAACCTAATGTCTGGGCATTGTACCTTTAACCCTACACGTCTTACTGTTGCCTGCTGCTTGTGAAATATTTCCTAGTTGAGCTGACTGGATAACAACTGGATAATTGCCCAATACCAGAACTGTACTGTACAGTAATGACCCAATGATGCGTTTCTATTAATAGCTACCTTCACACGTGTCAGTATATTACAGGCAGTTGTAAAACTGGGTGTGTAAGTGCTCATAGTGCCAAGCTGTTAATACAAAGTAATGCCTACTAGTCCTACTTTGAAATCATAAAAGTTGCTGTTTCTGGGGAAATGGCTGATATCTGGGAGCCTTTGATCAGAGTAAAATATCCAAGCATCTCAAGTAGGGGTTAAAGTTAATTCTCGATTCAAAAGGATTCCCAAGTCATAATCGATTCCTGAGCTGAAGGTCTGACTGCATGAATCACTCACCCACAAATCCTACGCCACAGTCATTAACCGCCCAGGAATATTAGTTTGTCTTATTTCAGTAGCTTACTACTAAGTTTTGATTGATTAATCATTAATGATTAGCAGACTGTGTTGCTATACGTCTGTAAGGAGAATAACAGATATTTAAATTTAAATTTAAATAATAAAACCATTACAAATCAATACAATTATTTTAGTTATTTTTTATTACTATTTGTACAAGAGTTATTTTATTCAGCCCAGAGTTGGATTAAGTTGTTCTGCAGTGTGTGTTGGTGTTGGTCAGTCTCGTTTGTCACTGCTGGAGAGGTTAAACACATTCATTCATTCAATTAAGCCATAACCTCGTAGCTTTTCCTCTTTATAAGGTAAACCTGAATGCAGCCCTGACAGCTCTGCTTTCCTTATGGAATATTCTCATATCTTTGACAGAACAGCCTGCGGCTCTCTTGCACACAAAGCTACGGTTCACAGCGGAGATAACGCGCCCTGCGAGCCTGTATCAGTGAGTCATTTCCCAGTCATCATCCTTGAACTCCCGGCCACTGTACAGGTTACACACACAGAAACAGTTACACACCTTCCCACGCAGGCCTGCCCACACATAGCTCACTTATGGCAAGTGTGAGCTCCCTGCCTCGGCTCACGTGTCGTCTCCACTTTGCTACTTTATGCTTACAAAGCAATCGCTCGCACAGCTCGGGCAGTCAGTCCGTCCCTGAGGAAGAGGCTCCGCTGACGGACAAATCAGAGCTCTGAGCCAAAGGGGTGGGGGCGTTTGAGTCACACAAGCTTTAAATACAGGACTAAATTAACCTATCTTCTCTTTACAAGCACTTTGCAGAGGAACACTGCCCTCACAGGCAGACAACTTATGCAACAAAACCCATATTTTTGACATGATTAATTCTTGTCATCACTAGTTTCATGCAGTAAAGATCCAACTAACAGACTTCTGAAACTGCAACCCTGGAATAACTCCTTAAACAGGCCTTGCAATAAATTAACTTCCACCATAAACTGTTCTGTAGTAAATGCAGCTGTATAAAAAAACATTTACTTGGAACTAAAATAATAATAATAATAATAATAATAATAATAATAAAAATAAAAATAACTTTTCTGCTGTCAGTCAGCACTGGTTAGAAAATGAGGCAGGATGGTGGGAGAGGTTTCAACCCTATTATTGGCAGAGAACACACAAAGTGTACGGTGACGAAGCAAGACTCCATGTTAGCAGCCAGTTGTAAGTGAAGAGGTCGGGTGGGTGAGAAGGTCAGATATGGATGAACTTCCTTTATAGTCCTTTGACGTTTGTCTTTTAAATATCCGAAGGTGGGGCATTTACTCATGACGGTCAAGCAGCACATGCATTAGGACTGTGGTAAAGTCAGCCAGTCAGTCAATACAGTGTGCAGTTAGATATGTGTAAGGGGGGAAAGAGTTCAACTTTTCAGTGCAGCTGGGGGGGAAAAACACGTTGAGTTGAGCAGGAGAGTGGCTGCTAGGTTTACTACATGCGCTGTGGTGAGGTTCAAGAGCTGCTGGACAAGCAGGATGTGGAGCGGAGGTCAGGGGTCAAGGGTCAGAGGAGTTACCTTTCAGCGAGGCTTTAGCCGACAGCTGCAGCTGAAGAACCTCCTGACGAAGAGAACCTGGAGATGACGTATGAACGGAGGAATGGATGGATGGATGAAATAAAGGGTGTATGGATCGGAGGGAGAATGGCGGACGGACCCAAAGGTTGAATGGAAAGATGGGTAAGATGGAGGAATTACCATGACGGAGAAGAAAACATCAGAACGGAGCTACATTCATGAAACTTTGCATTGCAAAATACCAACAGACTATTAATAACACTGCACAAAAGAAGCCTAGTGAAGTTTTCATAAACTTACAAAGATTTGCAATTTTAATGGAAACACCAGACTTAACCTGTTGGTCCATTTATTTATAATCTTCAGCAGAAATCTTCACTCCACAAAAGTGTGTGTGCATGATGGATCTGGCACGTGTGTGCTTCCCGGGCAACGTCACTCCATAAAACGTGAGGGGGCTGTAACTCCCTCACAGGCACATGCATGGTCCGCACCACGGCTGTGCATTGATAAAAACGTGAAATGTGACTCCCGAGCAGCATGTAAATGCACTTAGTGTAATTGTACCAAAACACCCTGTTGCACTGGTTGTTCCTCTTCATCAGTCTTCATCTACCTGTTGCTAAAAATAACATGTGGTGAACATTAAAGTGCAGCTTTAGACAGCCAGGGTCCTGAATGAGAAACACTATTAACACAACTAACCACGCTGCCTTCATTCATTCCACACGTGTATCGTTAAACTCATTCACAAACACATGCAAACTGCACTGCTACACTGCAGCGCCAATTATAAGCCACATGGCTGTACATGGCAGTCAGCAGAACCATTTACAGGTCAAGTATCTAAAGTCAGGAGCAACAACAGACTCTGCATTATGATTCACGGTGTATGGTACAAGTACTCGCTGCTACAGCCACACTGGCTTTACGCTAAAGGTGCGGCGTTTAAACACTTTGGTCTGTCGTACTCAGTCATTACACTCCTGCTGGTTTGTTGCCAGAGACTGGGTGGTGAGTTAGCATGGCAGCTACTGCTACTTACCCGGCTTGCTGTAGCCACGTTTCCCCTTTTTACTCCGCGGCATTGTGAGTGCTGCTTTGATCCACAGTTCACAACAGAGCTAGCCGAGGTTCGCTAGCTGAAGTTAGCCTGCCTTTGAGTCCACCTGTCCTGTAAAGTCCGTCCGCTGCTCACAGGGTTGACAGTGGGTGAGAAGGCAGCAGCAGCAGAGGGCTGGGTGGTCTCCGGGGTTTATCTCGCCGGCTCTGGTGAAAAAGCTCCCACAAGTCCACCTTCTTTCACACTTGTTGTTTACACTTTGGCTATCGTCGGCTAGCGTCCTTCCCCAGCCACCACCACGCTCCACAGCTCCCTTCAGTCTGGGAATGATAAAGAGTTGTCCGGCGGTAAAAAGTCACTCTCCTCGGCGGGTTTCACTGTGTATTATCTATAATTGTCCCCAGGTAATCTATATATAATACCAGGTTGAGATAATAGGTATTTTCCAAAGTGTTTAGGACGGAGTTTTGAGCACGCTGCTGTCGTCAAGTCCACCATCTTCCTCTCAGTAAGCAGAACAGACCGGCAGCGGGTTGCCAGGTTGTGTCAGAATCCCCCGTTTCCGGGTATGTCTAAAAGCAACCTTTGACCATTTACAGTATAAATAAACCTCTGACTGGATGGAGGAAGCCCTTGTTTTTAAACTCACGTCATATCTATGATTACCGTAATATACATTTAAGGGACGGTAACATTTTCATGAATAAAGTCAGACTTAGTGACTATATAACGACTACTGTTAAAAAAAAAAAGATAATTCTCAGATTTAAAACAGTTTGAGATTGATTTTTAAGTTTTAAATAGAAATCAGTGTTGTTGTTGTTTTTTTTCAAATAATTTTGAAACAGACATTTTTCATAAGCCATAAGTTTAATTTTTGGACAATGGAATTTAGGCTTTTTTGTCATTTTTCTGCAAGTGGACCTGATCTTGTTCCCTATCTCAGGACCCCTCCAGACCCTTGTTTAGGAGCCAAAATTATGTGAGGCATGACATGAACATTTATGCAATCTTATTTTCACATCATTGTCAGTATCACTAGAAAAATAGCAGCAGATCATGGGAAAAAGAAAAGGAAATTGTCTTTAATAAAGAAGATATTTTCTAATCAAATAAACAATGTTATTTCAAATGTACATGAGAACTCAGTTACAAATTAAAATCCACAGTGACACACAAAGTGCACCTTCAAGACAGTTGGCAAAAACTGACAACCTATAAATCAGTAGTATTATTTAGTTTGTTATTATTTTCATGAAATAAGACATTCAGAGCTGCACAGACAGTCCAAAGACAATGTTCTAGTTTAATACAGAAATTAAATTTCATTAGTTGCCAGACAGAACAGACATAATGACAATAAACCTATTTTCAAGTTAGGTTATCATTCTACCACATTTCTCCCTCAGGTTTAATATATTATTACATTATAAACAGTCTGGTCAGGTTATCGACCAGATCAACAGAGTGAACCAGAACTCCCTCAAAATCCCTCCAAACAAGAACTTGCTGAGAACATCTGCTAATTAACACAAAAAATGCTAATTCCACAAACTGAACTGGCAGGTTTATGTTAATTGGCATATTTCAGGTGGGGTTTTTGTGTTGGAAGGATTATGAGCTGGTCCTGTTTGACCTTCCTTCACTAAGCTGTTTACAACTAACAATAAAATGAATGGACATTTGGCTCTGTGGTATTTGAAAGAAAAACTGCAGACATGTAGTGAAATAACATCAAAAGAACCATTTGGAATCTCTTTGTTTTGGTCCAGCGATGACAAAGTAAATGCTGTCATGTTTCATTAGCAAAACCTATATTCTAAAACAAGAAGTTAATTAAATACTTGTGTTAGGATCCACACAGTCTCACTGCTGGTTCAGTTTAAGCTGCTGTCCACTTACAAAATTAAAAATTAAAAAACTTGGTCTATGAACTTTGTTAACAGAGCATCTATGCCCATACTATCATACATACATTCTCAGACTCCACTTAGTTACTGGACAGTGCGTTGCTTAAACACACACAAGAACAGTAGCATGATGTTTGTAGAGTGATAGCCTGCTGTTTAAAATGTTCTCCACAAAGTCTGTGTGTATACTGTACCATGTGTTTCTTCTTTAGTGTCTCTAATACGAACTCTTATTCATTTAATGTGCTTCACTAGGAAAGTGACTAATCACATCAGACCAGCACACACACTGTATTATATAATACTTCATCATTTTGTAATATTTTCTCTCAATGAACTGCATAGCTGGAGGTAAACAGAAGAGGGCAGCATTTGTGAATATGGGACAGAGTGAAGGAATGTTCCAGTGTAAGTTTATGTACCGTGTGTTTGTGTGTGTGTGTGTCCCTCCTATCCAGAATAATAGTTGGTGGGGACGAAGGGCATCTTGCTGACGGTGGCGGGCACTGCTTTTTTCCTGACCTCGACCTGGATGGCTGTTCCGTTCTTAGCGAATGCCACATCCACGTAACCCATGGCGACGTTCTTTTTCAGGCAGGGAGAGGGGCAGCCGCTGGTCACTTCACCTAAATAAATATCAAAGGATAAGACTTTCAATTTAAATCTATGTCTGACTCCCTTTTCAGAGAACAAATACATAGCAAGCCAGATTAAAACCTTATGGTAGAAATGGGAGTGGCAATATACTTTAAAATCCTAAGAATTTTCTTCAGTATTGATAGAACGTTAAAAAAAAATATCCAAAACATAGAATTAATAGAACTGAGATTAATGACATTAATATGGTAATGTAATGTATAATGTCAAACAAACAATGTGCAGGATTTGAAAATGTGTGACTTTGGCAACCCCCAGTGGTGGTACCATGAATGAAAAAATTCAACAAAGATAGAACTTTACAGAGAACTAGCTCCATTCCGGTTCAAGCACCTAGTTATGAACTGTTTGGAGCATTTCGACCGAAAATTGCTTTGGAACCTGAAAAGTTGGTTCACAAGTAGAACCAAAGTGGGCATGTCATATTCCATTGTGCAACACCCTCTGTTGATGACGCATCCTTGATTACAATGATTTCGCTCAAAACTGTTGGAAACACGTGATTTGATAGATAGCACCAAGGTTCAACCAGAGCTAATTTGGTTGAAAAACACTAATAGCGGCTTTAACATTAAATCTTTTTTGTGTCAGTGGTTGTGTATTGCATTATATGAAGTATCACAGCTCCCTCCTGTTTGCTTACTGACCTATGACCTTTCCATCAGGCCCAAGTATGGGTGTGTGTTGTCTGACAGGGGGGCCGGTGGAGACCAGACCGACTCTCTTCCTGGCTGTCTTGGCTTTTATCTGAGGTACGATGATGTCAGCGCCGGGGAAATCCTTGGTCTGACGCCGACGCTTTCCTGTGTGTGAAAAGACAAAGCAATGGAGGTCATACACGGAAACAACTGCGCTGTAAAAGCTCACGCACAGAGAGACACAACAACATGCAGAAACACTGGTTGAATGATCAAAAATGACACCCTACCGGTCCCCATCTTTACACCTGAATGCAACAGAGAGTTGAGAAAACTAAGCTCACTTACTAACACGAGTAAGTCAACACATATCATCACCTTTTAACTTAATATAGCAAACCTTTTAGCAAACAGTTGCTTATTTACACATCCAGCAACATTATCATTCACTTAGAGTCATGTTTCTGCCACCTGCTGAATGTACGTCCAATATTCACTCTCTTTTAGTCTCTACCAACTCCTGAGGGAAAAATCTTTACCTGTATCTTCTCTGCGTTCACTAGCTAGTCATTAACTAGTCGGTCTCACTATAAAACTCTATAAAGACGAGGGGAGCTGCAGTTTCAAGTGATAATTCTCCATAGTTTCATCACTACAGGCTAAGAGTTTAATCAACAATTTTACATTTTACAGCGGGTTATGTGCCAGAGCATTTCTTGGCTGGCCGCCGCTGGATGCCTTGTAACTGGTCCCAGCCAAATAGTATATTGTGGCACACACAACAAATTGTTACAAAGGGTTAATTAGTGAGCTTCATCACTGCTGGTACACTGATTGTGTTACTTTTGGACAGACCCAGGCTAGCTGTTTCCCTCTGCTTCTAGTCTTTATGCTAAGCTAATCGGCTGCTGGCTCCAGCTACATATTTACCATACAGACGTGAACTAACTCTGTTTGACAAAAGAGTTCAGATATAAATAAAAAGGATAGACATGTCTTCAAAATCAATCACCCGTTCCATCACAGTCTTCTTCAAAAACAATCTGGTTGGAAAAAAAACATTTAATAAAAATATATGAAGACTAAAATCTAACCTATGGTCCAGACTAGGGTGGCCTCCACAGGTGTGGTGGTTTCATCTATGTCGTTGCCATAGAGACAAAGCCCTGCCTCTAGCCGCAGACTGTCCCTGGCGCCCAAACCAGCCAGCTTCACCTCGCTGTTAGCCAACAGCTTCTCCGTCAGCTCCACCACTCTGGACTGAGGGACGGAGATCTGGGACACAGAGACAGAGACAGCCTGTAGAGCTTTTCATGGAAAGGAATATTAAACATTGAATGAATATACATATTCTAACTCAGCAATACTGAAAAAAAAGAGACATAGTTTGATGAGGGGGTATATTTGTATTAGGTGCTCCAAGATATATTAGTATAAAAAAGATGAGGGGAAACAACTAATTACAGGCTGTATAGTCAGTCTATTTTTGTGAGTCTTAGCACTGAGGGAAAGATTGATGGAAATAAATTATGTAAAAGAAAAAGTCAAACAAAGAGACACAAACTCCCACATTCCCTCTGTCAGAGAGAGACCCACCCACATCCATCCTGCTGTCTACAGAGCTCCAGCAGAGTTGGCTGATAGAGAGAAAGAGATAAATGCATGTAATAACTAGTAAACTATTAATCTGGAAACCTTGCAAACAGAATATTTGGAGAGCTTTTAAAAGTGTAAACACCAAAATATTACCATGTTTGATGAGGGAAAAATGTTCAGGTGGCAAAATACTAGAAAGAAAAAATTAACTTGATCCAAACTGGACCCAGTTCCGTGTGTGTGATCCCAATGCACATCATATTCAGGGGCGTGTCAACTGTCAGATACAAGGAAATACTAACCACCTTTACAGTTTCTGCTTGTTTTCATAGAAATACAGTGATTCCTGGCAGGAGGAGGGAAAGTGGTGGCTACACAACCATCTTTTATTAGCCATTATAGCAGCATGGCTCTATGTCTGTCTGTCGCTCTGTCCGTCTGTTGTTGGGTCTACCACTCTGGTCAGACTGAAATATCTCAAAAATGATTGGACACATTGCTTTGAGATTTTGTCAAGAACTTTATGGTGCCCAAAGAATGAATCCTAGAGAGAGAGAGAGAGACTGAGAGACAGAGAGATGCTGACCTCCACCCCGTCCTCTCCGGTGTATCCACAGCGGGTGACCCTGCAGCCAGGAACACCAAAGACAGTGGCCAAGGTGGAGGTCATGAAGGTCAGTTTACTGAGGTCTTCCTTCAGTCCCTCCTGGAGCACCTGAGACATGGATGGACCTGACAACACACAACACAGCAGATAAATACTCTACATAAACTAAGACATAGAGAGTCCTACACAGAGGAGTTCAAATAGCCAATTAACTATAGATTCTGTGAGGAAAGAGTACAAATAACTGAGGGAAGAAAAAGTGATAAAAATGATAAAAGAAATACTGGACAGGGCTCAAATAATGAAACAGAAACTGGGGAAAATTAAATAGAAAGAAGAGTTGGAGGGAGGACGTAGAATGGAGGGGAGGGGTGAAAGGCAAAGAATGATGAACAGGAGGAAAAAGAGGTAAAGGAGGAGGAGAAAATAAGACAGAAACAGAAGAAAGAGGGAAAGAGAACACGAGAGAAAGGGAAGGAGGGAAAGAACAAAAGAATCAGGTCAGGGAAAGGAATAGGGAAAGGAATAAAGAAAGGAAGAAGAAAGGAAGAGGAAGAATACTTTACCTTGCACAGCAATCAGTGCTTCATCAAGGAATTCCAAATCCACATCAAAACCTGCAGCTTTGTACTCTGCCAGTTTGGCCTACAGGTAAAACACACACACACATACATCAGACACTTTCTGTCAGTCAGACAGACACTCCCCACCTGTCTGTCTGTCGACACACACACACACACACACACACACAGTCTGTATTTACCTTCATACGAGCTGAGTCCTTGTCAGCACAGCCAGCGTTGGAGACGACATAGAGGTAGCCCTGGTCAGTCCTTGTCACAATGAGGTCATCAATAATTCCTCCTTTCTCATTGGTGAATAGAGTCAGTGTACCCTGGGGGGGGAATCGGTGAGGATTTGAAGGTATACGGAGGATATGTATTTGAGACACTGTTGGTCAAATTACTCCAAAAACTCCACATGCTCCACATGAACAAGTTAACCTTATTTTATGGCTCAGGTGGTCCAATCAAAGGGCTCATTTGTTTGCTTAGAACAATAATCAGTATTTATTTTGAATAAACAATTTTCCAAAATCAATTATATAATATGGGTTAACTGAGCCATAAAAATTTAATTTTGTAGTTCTAACACAGATCTCCCCATTTTCTCATCACTTTCTGCTCCATGAAGCATATTCTGAGCTGTCCTTCCCACTAAAGGACTTTGTTTCATTGAGTCTTCTTGTAGCAGAAAACCCGACAACTTTTTGGATGCATTTTCATTCGGATATTACCAAAAATCTATTTAAAATATGGTACTCCTTTCTAAAAATCTTGGTATTTTGGGGGGAAATCAAGTGGACACAAGTGGACAAATTTAAATGCATTCAGGATGGCAGTGGGGCCTTTTGAGAACAATCTAGTCTAAGACAAGACTGTAGTCAGACAGAAGTCACATTTCTCTACTGCAGTTGTTTGATACTTTGATTGAGACGGGCCTTTTTGACCCATTATCACATGTAGTGTCTTGGAATGTGGAAGTATGTAATGTAGTAATGTCACACTGTTTTCTTTTAACATAAACAGTCAGTGTTATAGAATAATATTTTCTTACCTGCACTCTCTTCTTCTTTTAAAGCAGCCATAATTATTATTTTACATTAAAAATGGGTCACATGGCTACTGGTATGTGAAAGGGATCGCTCATAGTGACGGAACCACAGAGAATTTTCACCCGACTTTGCAGTTCCTCTCATTTTAGAGTCTTTCAGCTCACTGTTGTAGCCTTCAGGACTGCCACTTTGCTGCTTTCTTTCACTTTCAACATTTTTATCAGCTTTGTTTTAAGATGTGACCTCTGTTTTCAGTTACAACCCCAGACTACACTATCTGCTCAGCACCAAACAACATTTAGCGCCTGAAGAGTCAGATATTTTCCTCAGGAGGTGGTGGAGACAGTCCTATAAAAAGGGGTTAATACTGGACTTGCTTTCATAAGATGGCAAGAAACTTGATGATATTGTTGCTCATATCTGCTGAATATGTAAATACCCAACTGTTTGCTAACATCAACTTAAAAGGTGATGATATGTCAGTGCTGTGTTACGATTTGTTTCTACTGTGGACAAAAAACTCAGTTATTGCAGGTTTAACATGAAACAATCCTTCATCTCACCTGGTTGTCCTTGAGTTCTGCAATATCTGCAACTACTAGAGACTCCATGAACTTCACCCTGTCTTTGCCATGGACTTTGGTCTGACAGAAAAAAAGCAAAAAGGAAGTATTTCAACATAGAAATGGCAGTTTTATTTCTGGTGGGTTCTTTCGTGCAACGTCAAAACAAACCTATTTAACCCCTGTTAACTGACAAATGACTGTGTTTTACTATGACAACGTGTGTCTGTGACTGGAAGTTTGTACACACGTATTTGTTTACCTGTGCTCGTGTTTGTGCTGTATGTATTTGTGCGTTTCACCTGCAGCATGTGGCTGACGTCGAAAATGGAGCAGTGCTCTCGGGTGTGCATGTGCGTGGCGATGTGACTGTCTTTATACTGGACAGGCATACTCCAGCCCGCAAACTCCACCATCTTTCCCCCCTGCTCCCTGTGGAAGTCAAACAGCGGGGTCTTCTTCAAGGCAGCCTGCAGGAAATAAGACATATATACATAGAAACACAAGAACCACGGTTTAATTTTGATGTATTAATCATAAAACTGAATTATAATCCACTTTTAGTGGTACAATTAGTGTAATAAAAACAATCCAACCACTTCCAGAGAAGATACATATACTAAAACAAGCACATTTGAAATTATTTTATTTTATTCAATAACAGTGATATTGGATGGAGTAACACATCTTTATTGAATATGGAGCTCTGTTTCTGATCTATCAGACAGTCAAATGGCAGATTGTTTTTCCTGCCCTAACTTCTGACCTTTAAACCCGCCAGTGGAGGGGGCTTATCAGCGCAGGAGTAGAAAAGCATTATGGGACAGAGTGTGTCGGCACTTTACATAAGACTCAATTGCTTTTTACTAAACTGTTCAAGTCCAAAGTCAGCTATTAATTGGAATGAACAGAGCAGAGATGGTTGTTCTCCGGTTGGAATTTGCACACACATACACACAGATGGACACACACACACACATACACTTAATGAACTACTACAGATTAGAGCATTAGGACTTTAGTCTTTTTAGCCCTTTTGCTTTGTGCAACAAAGATACATTATAAGGGGCTTAGTGAGTCCTACAGATACAGACTTTATCTCACTGGACTGATAAATTAGGTCTGCTATTTTAATTCATTCATAACCTTTGACTGAACGAATGAATCTGGGTAAGGTCACACTTTGAAGTAAGCAGAGGCGGAGAGAGGGCTGACAGCACTGTAGAGTCAGTCACTCGTGGTTTTAATAAAATCATCTTGTGCAGCTCAGTGAAGTGAAGCAGGCAGCGGGCAGGAGGATGGCAGTCTGCTGGGACAGACGCACATTATGTCTGCATGAACTGCCTGCTGCTGTGACACACTCTGATGTTATAGTTGTAATATGCAGTAACAGTGATAGAGCCAGTGATTTATTCTGGAGTGGAGTTCAAATATGATGGCCAAAAACACCTACTGTAGCCTACTCTGATTTCTACAACCAGAACTTCAAATACAACCCAGGAGATTAAAAATCTGGCATAAACCAAAGGTTTACTTCACATTAAACTCACCACTGAGTACAGTTAACATATAATATACATCTCAAACCTTGATTTAAAAAGAATATTATGAGAGTTTTATAGTCATATCTTATTTTAAGACACCATAAAGTAGGATAATGTCAATATAAATTCACTTGTGGGCCACACTGCTGTCAGATAATTAAAGAGATATATGAGAGTTGAAAACTTTAAAGTGAGGTTGTTGAAAACTTCAATGTGCCACAGACACAAAGTCTCCACAAAGAATACACTGTGGTTTCATCGACCTCCAGTAGAAACACTGTGTTTACGCTGCTTCACCAAAACTATCGCAAAATGCCTTTGGATCCCTTGCAGCGACCCAAGTTTACCGCGCAGCCACTCTTCATGCCCCGCTCACCTCCGCACTTGACGCCTGCCTCTGCTGCTGCTGCCTCCCCGCACATCCAGCTCCAGCGACCCGCAGCAAACCGTCCCTGGAAGCCCGCAGCCCGAGCCCGGAACCCCCGACCCCGACCAGCATCCGAGCCCACATCATGCAACCTGAAGTCTCTCTATCTCTCACACACACACTCTCACACACACACACACACACTCCTGACGGGTAACACTTCCGCTGTGTTACTAAACTCTTTGGACTCCACTCTGGAATTTCTGCTTTCCTGGCAAAAACACATGAGCGGCGATGGAAGGGAAGAGCAAAGGCTTGTGGGAAATGTAGTTGATTAGTTCATTAGCTCTGCAGGGGTTTCGCCGGTTGAAGAAATGCTGACTGGCCCCAGAGTCATAGAGTACAGCTGCCTATAGTGTAGTAGACTATACATTCTTTACGAAGCTGAACTCTTTAATGTGGATCAGATAATAATCACACTGTTTAATGGCTGTTTATTGGAAGCAACATTTTCAAACTTTTTGGTTTATGTGTTGGTTGGTTGCTGCTAGTGTAATATGGCTTATGAGGGTCAGGATCAAACCAGCTTCTGCAAAACATTGACCAGGTTTACAATTCAGCACCGAGTATCCATAATACTACTAACTATCCATAATAGGACACAACATCTGGAAGGAAAAAAAAGCACAGCTAAAAACTATATATAAAAATAATATATGAAGTGGCAGCTGGCCTAACAAAATGACAACATCCTGTGAAATATAGCAGATGTGAGAAACATCAAATGCATTCAGATGTAAGCAGATTGCCTCCCAAAGGTCGCTGAGATGGGCTCCAAATCCTGATGGATAGGATTAAGTAATAGGGCGTACATGTTTTATACCCATTTAGTAATTACTGTAGTAATTAATGCATGATAGACTTTCTAATTATAACCATTGGTTCTTAAATGATAAAAACCCCATTCTAATCTTGTTCTCCTTTTAAGGGCAATGGCTACCAATGGGTCAACAGGAGAGAGAGAAACACGGTCAACTAACAAATGACTTTTTCATCTCAGTTGCTATTTGAGAGGCATATCAAAAAGAGTTTGGCACACTGCACACGTTTTGCCTTCATTCAAAAGTAAAGACTGAAACCTGTTGAAAACCTGTTGAACTGTCTGTGCTTTAGATTGCCAACAGGATCCTCACATGCTACTAACTGCATGTTAATAAATTGGAAATTATATGTCTAAGTGTTTGGACTCATCCTACATAAATCTGTCCGTTATTCAGAAAACAGTGTACAGTTTCCCACCCGACTGTGTACCCATTGATATTTGTCCATGTGAGTATTTGTGTGTGTGTTTATCCCTCTGTACCCCATCATGCCCTCCACCCAGATCATTGAGTCATCCTTTGGCCTGAGAAACTAATAATACCCCCATGTCTCTGCTGCTATTTTAGGCCTTGAGGGCCAGCAGGGTTGGGCGTGTGTGTGAGCATGATTGGAGGGTAGTGACAGGGCTGAAAAGACTTCCTCTCCCTCTCCATGTCTCTAGCTCTCTCACAGGGCAGTTAGGGTGGGCTAAATCAGAACATGGACGCACACAAACATACTTAGTAAGACGGGGTGGCGCTGGAGTGTCCTACAGTTGCTCAGTGACACACAGACACACTCACGAGGAGGAGTAGGACCCTGAGGCTAAACCTGGAGGTTCTCTTTTGTTTTCACACATCAAGGATTTTACTTGAATCACTTATTCATTGTTGGGATTAGATTTCAGTTCCGTTGGATTACTTTTGTCGCTGCGTGGCTCCTGGATGACCTGTTTGGATATTTAATGTCATTCCTCATCGCTGCTCCCGTGGGTGCAGACACATGTTTTGGCAAACGGGTGTCTGAGTGTGAGGAGACTGGGTGAACAAGAAGAGCGACAGACAGACAAGAACAAACAAGCAGACAGGCATATGCTGACAAAGGGTGAGTGGGAAGAGAATAACAGTATTTCTTAGACCAGTTTTGTCCAATAAAATAGATCTGGTCTGGCAGCACAGTGTCTTCACACAGTCAGGGTGTAATGCATTTAATCATCCATTCATTCATTCTGTTAGTCATTAGATTGGAGCCTGCCCTGTCCTTTGGCCTTCGATTCAAATTCCAGCAACATTGTGCCTTTATGGATTTGACAACCAGCTCTATTAATAGTTCTGATAAATTAGCCTCTCATGTGGCCCGTTTGTTTTGTCTTCAAATAGAAACCAAGATGATCTGTTTTCTTGTCCTCACATATGGTACATGCCAACATACCGCTCTATTTTTATTCGAACTACAGAATAACTTCTAATCCATTCCCTGCTTTCTCTCCCACTTCTTGCCACCCACCATATCCTCATCTCTATTAATTAAACCATCTTGATATTTGAGATTTATATGAAACTAAAGATCCCAAAAGAACAAACAACTCCATTTACCAATGTAGGGCGAGTAAATAACAACAGCACAGGTGCAAAGTAGCTGCCAGTGTCTCCCATTAAGCAAGAAGACCTTAGACTGTTCATCTCTATAGTCATTTAAATTATTCAGAGAGAAGTTTTTGTGAGGACTTGCTAATAAACTAATCATTGTTGGAAATATTTTGTAAATCCATTCATAGATCATTTGCATTTCCTTGATATACTTTCAATGACAGAGCAGTCTGGTTGGTAAACATGGCTGTGCATTGTCCTGTTTGCTGACACAAACTTCTTTCTTTAAGTTGCCTCGTGCCGCCTCCAGAAGCCAATACTGTGGCTTCATTCACTGGAAGGAAGGTGTTGAGAAGTGGAGAGCCGTCTTGAACAATCTAGCGGTCTAACTAACTATTCATCCCTCAAGAGGAGACGAGATGTCGAGGCCTCCTTCCTCCCAGACCACCCCTCAGTTCCACAGGGTCAGCGACAGGGATCTCACCGAGATCGAACTACATTCTGTGGACTCCATCAACGACCTCCACCGAACGCACCATGAACACAGCCACAAAGGTACACACACACACAAATACCCCCAACACAGCCACAACTGACACACACAGCCAAAAATGGACATACACACACCTGAACCCAGGCACAAAGGTACACACACACACCCTTCAAACATAGGCAAAAATGGACATACAGATACATGCCAAACACACCCAAAAGGTACACCCCTACCCCAAACACAGCTAAAAAAGGTACACACACACAACCTGAACACAGATGCAAAGTTACACACAAACAAACATGGCCAAAAAAGGGACACGCACACAAAATACAAACACAATGGTATACACACAAACACCAACAAGGTACCCACACATTGACACTCACTGTGTCTGATTTCAGGGATGAGGCCTCCTCGACCTGCTTACACACCCTCCCCAAATGGGAATCTATACACATGTGATGTGACAGCTGCCAATCAAAGAGGCCATCCAGTCAGCAGCAAGTGGCAGAGCCGTCTACAGGATATGCTGACACCCAGTTCATCACGTGCCTATGCCATGGGCTGTGCCATTATCACTTTGCTGCTGCTAACTGTGTTACTCATCTTCTACTTTTTGGGTGAGAGATCATATTCATTCATTTTCATTTGTTTGCCTTGATACTTTCTGGATATTTTATATTTCCTCGATCTATGAATTTCACTTTGCCTAGACTATTTCCTTAAATCTCTTTACAATTATCACGTTATTTGCAATATTCCATTTATATTTATACTTAAAGCTTTCAAACATGTCTGTAAATCTAAGAACAGGATATTTTTGTCAGCCTAACCCAAGATGGAAAATGGACAATAATGGTTTTGTTTCTGTTCCTCCTCCAGTCCAGCAGGGCGGCGCAGTCAGAATGCTGACTGAGGCACTGAAGGAGAAAGAGGCTGCAGCCACAGAGCTGTCACTGCTGATCCAAGAACTGCAGGCACTGAGACGCAACCTGACAGCCACGAGAGGAGGGACATGAGGAACATATGTATAAATAAACATACAAATCTATACGTACACACAGATACACCTTTAATATTGGACGTGAGATGCTTTGAAGTAAAGCAAAACTTTGTTTTACACTGGATTTTTCCTTGAAGAGGAAACATTATCAAAATGTTTCCTAAATGTTTTCAGTGTTTCAGATTGAATGTAAGTGATGGAACCACGTTAAGAGATGGGAGGTTTCTGAGAACCGTTCCACTCTTTCCTGCCAGGTCACTAAATGAAAAGGACTTTTGAACTCAGGTACTTTTTGTTCTGTGATGATGGCGCTCTTATTAAAGCAGTATAGCTGGTTAGATTAAATGAATAGAGACAGTATATCTCATGACATTGCATCGCATAATACACATTTAATATCTGTAGCAAACTGATTATTCTGCATTGTCGCTCAAAACGATTTTAAAGTGTCACACAAAGTGTTTAAATGACACAGTAGTAAGGTCTACCAGCTGTCTCTGTGCTGTCAGTCATGTTGTGTGCATAAGTGTCTATCACACATGGAGCAGCACAATCAAAATGTGGTAGACAAACACACAACTACAATGTATTAAATGGATAACAAAGACAATACTGTTTTTTAATGTATCTGTTAACCGCTTTGTATTCTTGTTTTGCTCTTTGTTGAGAAAGAAGGTTACATTAAGCAAAGGTTGATGACTTCAACCACCAATTTTAGCATACTAAATATATAATTATCCGTTACTTAACAGTTTAAACAGGGTGTAATTTTGTTTTAAAGAGTAAAAAAGAATCACATCTCTTAAAATGAGCAGATAGGTTGAAGCTGATTTTCACCCAGATGTTATGTCCACCATGTGCCACCACAGTTTCTCCTACAC